GACAAAAAGAACATGTTTGTTACCCCTTTTTAATTTCCTTGATTTACAAATCATTGTCAGTGCTGATATTTCATTTAACTTCCACATGCCAACATTTAACCAAGAAGTTGATTTCCTTATTTAGTGAGCTGTTGGGGTGTCAGTGTGTCTGATGACTCTGTCCATTGAGTATTTCCTCCATCTTTTCCATTTAAATTTTGCCAAATTGCTGTGTTGTGTGTTAGACAATCAAATCTTCAGGGAAGGACCCAGTCTGACACAGGTTTGGTTGTTGTGAACATCTTGCATGCAGTTGTTAGCCCAGATGGGTGAGGGAAGTTTGCCTCACCTGCACACGCACTTGCAAGAAAGAGATGGATACGACCTGTCGAGGGGTGTGATGAAAGAAGTCCACAGTTTGGGATATTCTACTCAGCTAATGTGCACACAAGGCCATGCTCTGAATTAAAACAGTCCTGCACTGGCTGTGGTGTGATCACGTGGCCTTTTACTTATTTCCCACCTTCAGAGGCTGGGTACAGGCTACAAAACAACATTGGATTTTTGAGGGGTTCTGTTGGATCTTTTTAACACTACCTGAACGTAGTGTTTTGATGGATTCAGATTATGGTATGTTCTCCTAGATGACATTCTCTTTATTGTCTGTTAAACTGCAATGTGAAAGTTTGCTACAGAAGACAGATTATTTTCCCTCTTGGAGAATTTCAGAGATGCAGTCTTGATTTTTGGTGCTGGATGCATTGCTTCTCTCTGCTGTTAGCTGGCGGAGACTTGAAATGCCAGCAGAGCCTACTCAGGTTGTGGAATTCCACCAGAGCAGCACAAGATCCAAAAATTATTTCCCCATTCGATTAGGGCAGATTTAAAACCAGTACACGGTTTAACTCTACTCCAGTGGAAGTATTTCCTGGGTTTAAGCTTCCTGAGAGCATACTGAGATTCAGTGCCTCCTTGAAAACATAGCAGTGATGAAAGCTGAAAGGTGAATAATGATTTTGTTGTTTTAGACACTTTGCGTTTCACTAGGAACATTTTGTGAAAGAGAAAACCTTTATCAAAGAGATGCACAGATCTTTTTGCATTGTTTTCTTGAGCTGAGTTTCTCAGACATAAACATCTCTTGGCACTTGCACAGAAAAGGTGTAAATTACATTTCACACTTCTGCCTAGGAATTGGGAACCATGTAACCTGCCTGTACTGTTGGTTAAAGAAGCATTAGAAAAGAGGAGTCTGGACTGTAAGGTGTTAGTCCAGACTGGCACTGATTGATGATATGGCTTAAAGTAAATTATCTTACCTCCACACCTTGAATCTTCAATCTAAAATATAAATACCTCACCTCAAAGTATGGTTTTGAACCATAATTAAAGCTTGTAAGGCATAAATGTATCTTTGGAATAAAAGGACCACATATTTTCCAGTAAATAATCCACAACCCTTCAAAAGTACCAACATGTGGAAATAGTTCCTTGGATAACAAATAACCGTCTTCAGACAGCCTGCACAAAGGCAAGGAAAGTGTCTGGGTACCAGGGACAATGTATTAGCAGTTTATAGACATAGATTTATTTTTTTTTTAAATAATTACTGTCATTTTGGGAAGGATGAGTATTGATGCTTTAAATGTTGTAAATAGAGACGTGTGAGTGATAGACATCAGTCTTACAGTGGCACATTGGTTATGTGGATAACTACAAATTAATACCTTCTACCATTGATTCATTTTGATTCTGCTTTTCTTTTTAGCTTTAGAATGCTGCAGAAACTAATTTACCAGCAAGTTGTGGTGTTTGGTATTTTTTTCATTATGGGTCCAGATGTTTACTGAAAGGATACACTGCATCACCCAGTGTCCTCCTTCAGCTGATCCCCTGCATACAACCTTCCTGTTTGTCTGTCTACATAACTTAACTAGTGATGTAGTGGTATTGCTGCATCATAATTCAGAGAGTTTGGGGGAAAAAAATAAAGATGAGTAGCAATAACAGTGCTGTTGCAAGCTGAAATAGTTATTAAATTCTGAGTGGTGATTTCAATATACAGAGCTGTGGTGTACTTGAGAGGAAAGTTAGAATCATAGTTAAGGCCTCTTCTGGCACAAACAGTCCTGTTGGAGCCTTGCAGTGAGTGGTGGCATGCTGAACAAACCAGGCATAATGGAAGTGAATTTCCTAGGCAGAGTAGGTACCAAGTTGTCTCTTTGGGGATATTTTCAGAGGACAGCAAACTTCTACTCTTTTTTTTTTTAAACAGTTGTTATTTCTTGAAGGGAAGATGAAGACAGTGTGTCTGTGTGTGTGGTGTGTCTCTCTAAGCTATGAGACTTGGCAGTGTATTTTATATATATGGGAGTGCAGGTAAAAAGGGAACTTGGAGAAGGTGAAGAAGGAAAGACTTGAGAAAATATTTTTAGAGAAGTGATGGGAAAGTGAACTAGATTTTTAAAAGAAGCAATGGGAGTTGTCAGTAAAGCAGAAAGAGAGGGTAGGAGAGGAGAAGGGATAAGCATCAGCTAACTCTGCCAACAGAGCAGGATAGTTAGGTAACCATGGAAAGAAGAGTTTGGGCATCAAGGAGCCTGTTGCTCTCTTTTTGCAGTAGAACTTTCAGTGTGTTTGCTTTGAAGTTTTACAGGAATATATATTTAGGCAACATCCATAGCCAACTAACACGTGGCTCTGTGTGTAAGCATAAATGTTTCATTTTGATATAAAACTCTTATGGTTTGTATCAGAGTAAAGAGAAAATCCCCAGATCTTTCTTGGTCAAAACTTCTGGTTCATCTTTTAACAGGACTTTGTAAACGTAGAGAAACTGTACTGTATAGTGCAGTACAAAATCTGTCCCTCTTGAAAGCCTGTTGGAAAAACCATGCCCATTGGAAATGATGTCTTTTTATTGATCTTTTGATATTTAGCAGGTTTATCTGTGACATTGAATTTACCTGTTAACTGGGCATTTTAGGTTAGCCATATCCTTGAGCAGACTGCTTTTCTTTCATGACACTCTTATTTTGGCCATCTTAAGGTCATGCTGTTGAAAGAGATATAATAAGAAATTCATATTTTGGAGTTTTTAGCAAGATAACATCCCTCTACAGTATCTACAAACCCAAACACCGGAGCATTGAAAGCCTGATAGTGTCCCCTGAGTAAAACAGATTGGATCGATTTCTCATAACCTAGTGCTAGAGGAAAAAGTGCACAAAGTAGTGAAGTATAAATAGCAAAAAGCAATTTTTAAATTATTTTGGTCATTGAAAGCTGACCCTAGTTGTTATAAAGTAGGTTCTGTAATTTTAGCCATTTGAGGCTGTACTTAAACACCTAAATATAAATGACCTATTCTTCAGAGGTGCTCAAAAGCAAGGGTGGGTATAATGCGGTGACAGGATTTGATTAGCGGGGTGATGTGCTCTCACCAGCAGGAGAAAGAAGATTATTTTCCCAGAACTAATCTGTGTGGTCCAGAGTGAAGCAAGGTGAGCATCAGGATAGCAGGAAGGGAGGTGTGGATCTGGCTTGGTGTTGATAGCAAGTTGAAATGTACCTCAGCAGCTTAGAAATAACGTACTTCTGAGCCTATATTTCTCTACCTTGGAATATACTAATATTTTCAGCTCTGAGTGTTTGAAGTTGGGCCTGTAAAGTGTATGTGTTGATTCTTAGGCTGAATGATTTTTCTGGTGTCCCTGTAATTTGTTTAAAAATAAAATTCTGTAGGTGTATATAAAGTGATATGGTTTATATTTATCTTAATTGCATTTATATAATATCCATATATTTAAAAATGATACATCCAGAGTAGTGATCATAATTCTCTTTTTGGCCATTCCCCATCAGGGGAAGTTACGGTATGAACAATGACTTATAATAAAGAAGAAGTGAGTGAACTGGATAGCTTTGGATGTTAAAGAAGCAAGTTGGGGTTGAGGCTGTTACTGTTCCATCCTGAAGGGTTATAATAGCTGTGCAAACAAATGGCATTATGCCTAAGTCCCTGGTAAGTGTCTAGGATAAGAATTGTGTTCACTAGTCGTGCATCCCACCGCAGAGGAGGAAAATGCTGAGGACCTGCTAAGGACAGACTTCTTTGGTGGTGCCTTGGTAGTGCTTCCTCTGCTGTTCCTTCAGTTAGGGGCTTGTCTGCCTGAGGCTGAGCAGCACAGAGAAACATGCCTGGATAGAGAAGTAGTACTTGGTTGTAGGTTAAAATATTGCCAGCCCAGTTTTTGATATGGAACCAAGTTAAAAGGCCTGTAGCAGCCAGTACCTACGCAGTCGGTGTCAGTAGCATCAAGGCGCGGTGTTGGATGGGGGATGCTCAGCTGTGACCTGGCCATGTGCTGCTGGAGGCACGTGACTGCTGTCAGGCTGGCTGACAGAGGCCATCAGTGGCAAGGGAGAGGGGCTGATTAAAGGTATGGAGCTAATGCCATTTTTGACTCTACTCCTTGCTTTCCTGGTAAATCCACATATGTAGCAAGTATTTTATTTTGCAGGAGACAGAGGCCAACAGATGCTGCTCAGAAAGTAAGCTGGGATGATAAAAAAGCTATGTTCTTGCAGTGAAGTGCTTATATTCCATTTATCTGTAAAGGGTCATTGTTTCTTATTGTCAACAAAATAGTTACATCTATGCTTATAGCTGGTTCTGACTCTAAGCACGTGCATTCCCAGCAGAACGGTGATTACGAAACAAAAGTGATTCAGTTGTACAAGGAAAGTTCTACAGCAACTGGGTCAGGCAGTGGCTTCCACAAGCCATGTTGTCATTGGTTGCTGTTAATTTTTTTGCCATGAAAACAGCATGGGGAATAGCATGGCATTCACAAGAGTTGAGGCTGAGATGTTCAAGGTAAGCAGTGTACTACACGAGCCTCTCTAATGTTTTCTCAATTCATTGAAAAGCTTAAGTTCCACATTTTGCTCTTACATTTTTCTAACTTATCCTTTAAAAGAAAAAAATTTCTTTTTTTCTTTTTTTCTTTTTTTTTTAGTTCCTCCAGGAGTGATACAAAATGGAGCTCGAGTTCTGAGTAGAGGAATATTTCCTGGAGCCAGGCCATTGCCAATCAACCCTATTGGAAGCATGGCTGTTGCAGTAAGGTAAGAGTGGCTCGTTGCAGGATCTTTATGGAATAAATGGGTATTTTGCAGAGAATGTAAAAGTATATGTAAGCTCTGGTCGACAGATACTTTGCTGCTTGCTGAGGTACTAAATGAAATAAAACTATGCCATCTGAAATTCTTTGCATATATCATGGCATATCTGTTTGTTGCACACTGGTGTCCTGGTTTCAGCTGGGATAGAGTTAATTTTCTTCCTAGCAGCTGGTATGGTGCTGTGTTTTGGATTTAGGAGGAGAATAATGGTGATATAACACACTAATTTTTTAGTTGTTGCCAAGCAGTCAAGGACTTCTCAGCTTCTCATACTGGCCTGCTAACAAGAAGGTGAGGGGTGCCCAAGAAGCTGGAGGGGACAGAGTCAGGACAGCTGACCCAAACTGGCCAAAGGGATATTCCATACCATATGACGTCATGCTCAGTATATAACTGGGGAATTGACTGGGAGGTGGCGCAGCTCAGGATCTAGCTGAGCATCGGCTCTGGGTGGAGAGCAATTTTGCTGGGCATCACTTGTTTTGTATATTCTTTTATCATTGTTATTGTTGTTACTATCTTCATTTTCTGTCCTATGAAACTGTCTTTATCTCAACCCACGAATTTTACCTTTTTCTTTTCAATTCTTTCCCCTATCCCACTGCAGGGTGGGGAGTGAGCATAAGGCTGTGTGGTTGTTTTAGCTGCCAGCCAGGCTAAACCACAACACTGGTTTAGCAGTTTTATTTTCACTAGCAAATTGCAGGCAGTTTATGGTAAGAACCTCCTACAGTGACCTGTTTTTCTAAGTGCAAATGCTTTTTTCTGCTCTTCCCTCCCTCCCTTTTCCTAAAGACCTTTTCCTGGATTAAATACCAGTGAGAAGAATATCAATAATATTAAAGCAAATTCTGAAGGATATCTAAACATACGGCTGTCATTTTGTTATTAACTTAGGTCTTTGTGAGGTAGTTTCTTTCACTACAGTTTCTATTTCAAGGTTATACCGAAACATTCAAGGGTAAATTGTTGTTTGAAGATAGTCAACTTTTTTCAGAAAGGAGGGCAGTAAGAGACATCTAGTGATGGCACTAAGAACTGTGGTTCAGTGCTTTGCTTTACTTAAAGCTGTGATGGTTTATTGGTGGAAGAACAGTTTGCCTCAGGTGTAGCTCCATTTTCAGTCAGTCACAACAGAGATTAATTTGGTCAGGTGTGCTGCCAGTGCCCTTCTCTTTCAGAACTCTCAGTATCTGCAAAAGCTATTTCAGCTCAGGCAGTTGGGTGTTCCGGGTGGGGTTTCATAATTAGCGCTGACCCCGCTTTGCTGGGCTGTTCCAATTACACCCTCTGATCTCAGTAAATGGCTGCAAGGCAGTGAAATAATAAAGTATTTCGATAGCTACTTATTCCATTATTATTTACGTGGGATTTTTTTTCCATTTGCTCTTTCTTTTTTTAATCCCTTTTCAGAATCAGTGTCTAGCCATTTGGATGCAGTATTTCCATCCAGTAAGTGGAGAGAGAGAGAGAACTTACGACATTCATATACTCTTGATGCTTAAAATGCATCGAGGGGAGGACGCTAATTGGAATAAAATCTATATTTTTTGATGGGCAACTGTTTCGGCTGTTTTTCACATTTGCTACGCTGAAGGTATGCAACCCTGAGGGTCATCCTCCAGAAGTCTGCAGAGTTCCTCTCCGACTTGCTTTACCACAGTCTGGCCTTGCTAGCAGTGGAGGTCAGTCGTCCTCAATAGCTTTGCCGCTGACTTTAGCCAGGACTTGTATTCTGCTCCAGTGGGGTTGCAGAGCTGTGGGACTGCTGGATCATTGATTATATGTCATTTTTATGAGGTGTCCAAACTAAATGGAGGACATAGTGGTCTGAATATTCTCTCTTGAGTTTATCTCCATTTCCTGCTTAGATCCTGTTTCATAATTAGGATTGACTTAAGGAGGAGATAGAACTGGTTTTCCTTCCAGGCCACTTGAAAACTTCCTTCTGTGTAGACATCTTCAAATTGCTATGCTTTAAGGCTGTATATAGTTAAATTTTACGTATTTTCTGAGGACTACTTCTCATGTTTTTTCCCAGGAGGTAGAACAGGATCTTTACCAGCTACCTGCTAATGTAGATTTGGGAAATTGGGGATTTTACCCCTCCCTTGGTTATGTTCTTTTTGCTCTGTCTCAGAGAAAAGCCTTTATAATTAGTTAATGCAGACATTTCTAATTCTTTTTGTTCTCTTATCCAGCCTTAGGCAGTATTAGAAATAGCTTGCTATGAATATATTCCTGGTCTGCATGATGTCTGCTCATATTTAAGGGCTCCAGCAATATCCCTTCTTTTAATTCTTGAAAAGGGGGCGGGAGGTGGAGGGAAGAGGCCTTGAAACTTTCAGAAGTTAGGGGACTCTCTGCAATACAGCAAGTTCAGCAGACAGTTTTGTCTTGTTTTTCTTGGGGATATTAAGATTCAGAATTTCTTTAGGAAGAAGGTCAGTCTGGATGCACGATGCCTCTTAGAACATCATCTGGTCCTCTCAAAACTGGCTGCTTCTGTTATTAGTTACTGTAAAAATGATGCCCTGTTTCTTGGTGCTTACCCCTCTCCTCAGATTCACGGGGCTAAATAGGACCTGTTGTGTTGAGCTTTCATGGCATCTCATGACAATACCTTCTGCTTACCATGTGCAGCAGGGGCAATTTACCTCAGCATCCATGCAGTCACCCTCTGATGCAGTTAAGAGTAGGAGTACTGCTCACATGAAGCTGTCATTCCTGCATAGGGGGAGATGCTCCGGTCAGGCTGCAGGGGAGGTTTTTAGACCTGTTCAGGTGCAAGAAGGTTGTTTTCCCCTTCCAGCTTTCACCAGGAGTGAGGTCTGCTGGGCAGCCATGGAAGGTGGTACAGTCTCTTGTTATCTGCAGAAATGATGTGCCTCTGCCTATATATTGAGAAGCCAGACAGCTTCTTTCCAGGAAGAAAGAATATACTCAAATGTATATTTTCTTGAGAAGAGTTCCTTTGGTGCTCTAATGAAAGGCCTAAAGCTACCTAAAGAAGGTGGTTTTCATCATTCATATAGAGGACCTCTAGTATTTTCTAAACCTTTTAACTGGTTTTCTTTAGTTACCATATGTAGGAATTAATGGGTTCTTCTGTAAGGTGCTGGTCTTCTGCTGGCACTTCTTGCTGAGCTGTTCATTTCATTTTGTGTTTATTTCCTCAATATCTTAATGGTCTTTGGCTTTGTTGTGCCCCAAACTGTGTGGGAATATCTTGCAGTATGTTGTCCTGTTCTGCAGACTGCCATTAGTGTCAAAACAGTTTGGTCTTGGGTTAAATTTACAGTTGTAATTAGGTGGAGTGTTTTTGCTGTTATTCAGAAAGGAGGCCAAAACCATAGCATTGGTCTACGATGCTGAAATCTGTGATTTCTGATGTGTTAGCTCCCATCAGTTGGAAAGTTTACTGTGCTATTCTTCTTTAACAGTGTGACTGAACATATTAGCGTATTTTGTTCCTGCACAAGGCATTGATGTGTTGCTGTTCCCATGTTATTACATGTAATTATTTTTTATATATACAATAAAGTACATTGAATTAAGTAGTTTGGATTAAAAAACCCTACTGAAAAGTATTTAAGAAAAATGACAAATCCACCACTTGCCACAAATAAAGACTAGCAATTGAGGAGAGCATCGTTATGTTGTAGTGCATTTGGCTTAAATTGCACAAATAGGCCTTTCGTTCCAAACTAATCTACAAATGGAAAAGGCATCCCACACTATTTTTACTTTGAGAATCATCCTCTGGTGTTAAATCTCCACAGCAGAGCGTAATTGGATGTGTTTTGACAGTAGCTTTTTATTTACTTTATTCACACCACTTTTAGCTTGTTTACCATCCATATTTTCCATGTTGTGGCTGACAAGTCTAAGACCCACCCAAAGACAGCAGGGGAAAATAACGCTTCAAAGCTGCACAGCGTGTAGCATGTCTCTAACATGAGATTCATCATATATATTTTTGGCAGACCATATCCCCATACAGTTACCTGAGAGAATCTAAAAGCAAATGCAGTGATAGTCTGGATATGTAGAAAAGAAAATACTGACTTACAAATATATTAAATGAAAGCAAGCAAAGCCAGTAATGCCTTACATGCAGCAAGGAGTTGGTTGTGCTTTGAAGGTGAGCTCTTGCTGTTACTATGTACATCTATTGGAAAATACCTTTTACTTGTTTACTTAGGAGGAATTCTGTGTCCACTTAAGTATAGTCTCTATCAAAGTGGCTGGTGCATCTACCAACATGCATCTTGGCAAGCTGCAAGGAGCTCTATCGTATATAATCACCTTCCACCTGAATAAGGTGTTACCTGTTACACCAGCCCTTTGGAAGAACACAAGCTTGGAAGCAGAGATAATATTAGAGCTGTTTGAGCTCCAGTTTCAGTACATTCAGCAGACAGCCTCCACTGTGATGTATGTAATTTTCTTCAGTTATCTGCAGCGCACGAGTGGTTTGTGTATGCATCCACGTCCTGCTGTAGTGCAGTACACCTACTGAGCCTCAGCCTCGTCTGCCTGGTGTGGGCATATCCACTGAGGTGAGGTTGATGGAATTCCACTCTGCAGAGAACCTCACCAGCTTGGTGGCATAGGCCTTGGAATTTGGTCCAGATTGTTCAGCAAAAGATGCTTTACAAAATATCCGTGGTAATTTTTATGTGTTAGGTCTTTTTTTCTTTTCCTCTGTCCCAAGTGTTCACCGCTGCAGAGGTTGCTGAACAGCATTCACATGGGCTCCCAGTGAAGCTCCGGTCTTCATTGCATTTTGTACTGTGTAGGCTATGCTTCCCCATTTTTTTGGCCAGATTAAGGTGCTGCTAGTCCTGGGGATTAGTGGCCTGCTCAGTAGTCTGTTCTGATGGGCAGGCCAATTGAAAACCCCATCCTGTAAGCCAGCAAATGCACCTGAGATGGAGGTGAAAAAGAGGGAAGAAGAGTTCACAGACACCTTGGTGGGAAACCTTCAGGGGCGGGTAAAACCATTAGGATTTGGGAATAGCTAAGCAGAGCCAGTCCCGGTAAAGATGTGTTGGCTGGATTTGCCATTCTCTTTCTTTGTCGATGCATCAGAAATGTCAGGATGGAGGATGGTGTAGACTTCATTGCTTAACTGCCTTTTTAGCTCATATTTCCCCAGAATGAATCCAAGCTATTGTTTCAGGCTAATTGAAAACTTAGGCAAAACTTCTTTATATGCCACTTACGCCTAGGTAATAGGTTAAATTACTTTTGGTAGTGTTTGTTAGAAATACTTTGGTTTTTCAAATTGTTGCAGGTTAAAAATAAAAATAATGGGAAATTACTTGGGGTTTTCTCCTTTTTTTCAATTCTCCTTTCTCACCAAACATTTGTAGCTTCTCAAGGAATTTCACAATTATCTAGAAACCGCAAACACAAGCTTCCCAGAGAATTTCCCTAAGTGAAAAAATTTTCCATTCAAGTTTCCAAGACAAAATGTTCCCTCTTCCTAAGGAAAGTAAGTGTATCCATACTGGCAGAGCTACTGTTCTTGCTTTATTTTGAAAATAAAATACATTAAAAAACCAACAAAACACCCCGAAATGCAACATGATCAAACCTTACCTACTTCATCATGAGTAGATTTTAAAATATCAATTCTTCTTCTGCTATTAATGCCACAGTTCCTTGTGCAGTTCCTGATCACTGGGGTGTGACAAGAATGAGTTTTGTGCCTAACTTTATTTGAAGATGGAAGATTGTTATTTATGGTTATTTTCACTTTAAATTTATAAGGCAATTACTAGATTATTCCTCAGGCCCGGCTTTCATTATGGTGACTATATTTCTCATACTGGCTTTTTTTTTGCTTATTTTTTCCTCCTTTGAAGCAGCCATTCAAGCAGTGATTAAATAAACCAAACATAAGTAACATGTGCAGCATAGATGCCAAAGCATAAGTAAAATTATATTGTTACATTATCTGTGAATGCTTATTTTTGCTTAGGTAAAAGAACTGGTAGGTACTTCCTTTTATAAATTCTTAATTGTATATTCTTAATGTTCTTTCTTATTACTGGCATGATCAGCTTAACAAACCCCAAGTCATCCTTTTTGCATTGCATTCCCTTCCCACCTGTAACAGGCAGGATGAGTTATCCTTGGGAGCTGAAGGAATCCTTTAGTAACTAAAGGACAAAAATTCTGTCTGGCTTGATTATTCTTTTTTGCAAAATGCAGAGGGCTGCATTTGTCTTAACTTCAGATCTGCTGTTGATACTAAGTACTCTTTCTGCTGGCAGTTCATGACTCATTTACTGTGGTCCTTTGCATACAATTACGCTGTGAAATACCTTTGTAAGAGCTTCTATCAATAGTGTGACCAGCTTCTTGTTGTTGACTTTTAACTCAATAAACTCTGATAGAATCTCATCATACAGCAAGTGAGCACCACTTACTTTTCATATGCTTGCTCATCTTCCTCTCTGCTGGTATGTAGTGGGTTTAAGTAACTGTTCCTGTAGCTAAAACTTCCAACTGTCCTGAATTTCCCTTTGAAATTGTGTTACCTGTATAGTAAAAAAGTGTTAAAATTAGCAAACGTGGAACCTGTCAAAATCCACAAACCCAACTTACCTGTGCTGCTTTCTTTGTATCTTTTAACTGGGTCTTTCCAATTACATACCAAAAATGTTACCTGTGGGTATACAATAGCTGTCATCCAGAAGGATCAGAGATAGATGAGGTGATATTTAAACTCCACATAGATTTGGTTTGTTCATCAAAGGAATATACCTGTCTCTGGTGTGGAATACAGTAAGTATTTTTCAGCAAAACTTTTTGCCATTTTGCAGACAGAATCAGAACTCCTATCCATTAACAACAGGAATGGAGTTGGGCTTTCAAAAGTCCAGGCTTAATTCTGCAGTGCTTGAGGGTTGTGTCTTTGTGCTACAGCCAAATTGAAATATTTTAAGAAGAATCTCTGCATGGTACTTTCATCTATATAACTCTATGGTTAAGATCCCTCAAGCAAATAAAATAGTCCATGTCAGTAGGATGAAAAGCTCTAGAGACTGTCCCATGGACTTACCTGAAAGGGCAAGCCACTGCTTTAAAACATGTGACAATACATCAGTTTCTGGAAATTTTGAAATAAACTTCTAAACAAAAAAATGGGGGAAAAATAAATTTCCCCTCAGTGTTACAGTAAGCACAGAATTCTTAAATACCATTTCTTCGCCTCTGTAATTTAAAAATAATCCAAACATCAGAGCAAGGGCTTGCTTTAGAAATCTATTATTGTTTCAGTAACAAAGTCAGAGTTACAACCAGAACTCTGAGCAAAAATAGATTCAGCTGGGCAAAATCTATCCCATGAAACCCAGGGGAGTTCTGCCCACTGATGATCTAGATTGAACTAAGTAGATCACAGATATATTTCTTAGCGAGTATGTGACCGTATAAAAGCAATATAAAGCTTTAGAATGTCTCAGAAGCACGTGTGGAATATGAATGGTTTAGATGCTAGTTTATTCAACTCATTAATCTACTAATATCAATTATAAGTAATTCTTCCTATCTTATGTTTGAGCTATTCTGTGTAAAGTTACAAATCAGATTAATTTTCTTTCAGGGTACATGATTTTTGTGTTGTGAATATCCTTAAACACTCTGCCTGTATAACTCATTTTCATTTCTGTGGATATCCTTTGCTAATTCTCTCCTTGACCTGCTTTCTCTTCCTTTTTTATTTCCCCAAGCAGAACTGGTTGGAAATCTTTCAAAATGTAAGTGAAAACCAAAGATTTTTCTGAGATAGAAATGCTATCCATTTCCTGACCAGTTCTACCTTTCTTCAGACGTGTATTGGTATTTCTTTTCCTCCGTTGTTTTTTTTTTTTTAACCGATTTCTTTTTTTCACCTTTCTGTGGTCTTCTGGTTTTCTTTGTCATCATCCCTATTTGCAGTCACTCCCTGTGGGGTGTTAACCCCATAGTAGTACGCCTTCCCCCAGGACATTGCTTCTGTAATCCCCAGGCCTTTCGTTCTAGTTTTATGGGGTTTTTGAAAGGATTTAAGTCCCATGGGCAGAGCTTTTGAATCCAAATTATAGCCCCTTTATGTAAAAGCAAACACTAGACACTCAAGAGTGGGGCAAATCAGGGATAGCTTTTTGGCACATGATTGCTCTGCTCCATGGAACTGTAGCTTTCCCTTAGACTGAGAGTCTCTCAGTACAAGCTAACAAACAGGAGTAGATCTAATAACATGAAAATGGGCACCTTGATTTAAATCCCATCTGTTAGAAGCCTTGTTCACTAACAACCTAGTCAGTAGGAATCTCATTTGATTCCCGCCTATTCTGTCCTGTGTTTGTTTCCTTGGAGAAAGAATTTATTGCTATTTTTTAATGGAAAATTAGTAGCATGTGATTTTTATTGAGCCACATTGCTCTGACTATTAGCTGCCTAGTAAAATCAAGTAACTTTAATTTTATGCTAATTTATGATAATTTTTGACATCTTTAAATGTAAATTTACCCTAAAAATGAAGAATCTGTCACTTAAAATGCATCCCATGCTTCCTCGTAATGACTGATCTTAAGGAGTTGGTTATAAATTCACCTTACAACCAGTTTAGTATGGATGATTTCTTCTTTTAAGCATTTGGCATCCTCTAATGACAACCCCTGCAGTGGCAAACCATCACAGAGTAAATGCAGCTGGCTTGCTGCACAATCATGAATGACATTGCATTTAGTTATTAATAATTGAAGGAGCTTTGTGTATTCCTTCTGGGTTCTGTATATAATTTATGGATCATAAAGCTACTCAAAAATCTAGGGGAAAATAATTTTGTTGAGCAAAAGAGGTTGGCAAGAGGCTTTCTTTGCTAATAACTGGGTCTTCTATTATATACATTTCTTTGAAAAAACTGTAAATAAGAACATTTGGAATGACTGATTAATTTGCTACCTTCTAGCATTGTCCTGTCACTGGTTCTCAAAAGCCTGTTCCTTATTTCAGCAAGCTCTACAGGCATGAGCATTTAGACGAATAGGAATTGTGGAATTACATACCACTCATATTTTCCACCTTTCAGCCTTACCTTTCAGAAATGGATAACACTCTGCTGTTTCTTCTATAAAGAAACCAGACGTGAGGTCCTTTCCCTGAAACCTAAAGCACTTTCCCATTTTTTAAGGAGAAGAGCCATAATAGTCTGGACTTGCCACTGTGCCGTTCCTCTTAAGAAATATCTGTGTTCAGTGCATGCATTTAAGAAAAGGTTTTAATCCAACACTGCTCTGAGTGTGCAAAAGCACTGTAGTGGTAGCATGAAGATGGCAAGAGTAGATTTTAAAGCAGTTTGTCATGTGATAGTTTAAACAGTCGTGCTTGTTTGTTTTATTTTTTTTGACTGATGGGTTCAGGGCTGGTGAGCTGACGGGTGGCGATGATGATGCCTTTGCTCAATGATGAGCATCCTCCTCTCCTTTTTTTCAGCATGAATTAAGCATGGCACAGTGTCAATCCCTTCTTTAAGTCTCGCAACCATTGTATTCTGTATTGTAACACCAGTGGCAATGCTCTAATACTTGCCAGTGCAGAAAGGAACATTGTTAGTTTTTTAATGTATTGTGCTGAGTTCCCACAGCACCCAGTGCCATAAAACCAAAGGGGAAAATGACAACTTCTAGAGCAAAACCAGATTTTTTTTTTCCCAGCATTTGTTTTTAAATGCATTTTCATATTTTCTTGGCGGCTAGTGGCTTAAGATTGTGTTGCTTTTAAGATTATTCATAAACTAATTACAATCAGAAATGTGACTGGACCTGAATTCTATACTTAGTTACTCCTTCCATTGGAAAGAGTCCTAAATGGACGCTGTGCTACTTCCAGGTGAAACATCTCCTACCCTTGGAGCACTAGAGCTGGAAAAGTGTCTTTGAGAGGAGGCGAAGTACTACTCCAGAAAGCTAGTGTCTCTTCCCATGTGTTTGGTAGTACCATTTTATATACAAAAGGGGAGAGGAGATTTATGCAACTCTTCAGAATTTATTTAATACCCAGTAGATAAAATAATGGGGTTTTTTTCTTTTCAGTTTTTTCAGAAGTGTAAACTGTTAGTTGAAATGTAAATCAGGACTTTTCAGACATCATTTATTTGTAATCATCCCGTATTTGCTCCTGCCTCTTGTGTTGTTTCGTGTCTTTTGGCTTGTTTTATGTGTTGAGTCCAATCCACAAGTAATTTGCGTCAGGCTTTGAAACCATCTTGCATGGACATTTACTTTGATAGTTGTAATTTTAGATTATCTGTCAGTTGGCTTTATCATCTTTCACGCTGAAGCAAGATCACGTATCTGTGGCTTCTAAGACGGCTTCGATTTGTTTTTACAGGAATGGAATAACAAACTGCCGGATGCGGACAGAAAGCGAACAGTCCTGTGGCTCTCCAGTTGTTAGTGGTGACCCAAAGGAGGATCACAACTACAGCAGTGCCAAATCTTCCAACCACAGGAGCACATCACCTGCTAGTGACTCCGTTTCCTCTTCCTCTGCTGATGACCAGTATGAATTTGCAACTAAAGGTAGCCAAGACAGCAGTGAAGGAAGTGAAGTTAGCTTCCAGAGCCACGAGAGCCATAGTGAAACAGAAGAGGAGGACAAAAAGCAAAATCGGAAGGAGACCAAGGATTCTTTAGCTGACAGTGGGTATGCATCCCAGCACAAGAAAAGGCAACATTTAATGAAGGCGAAAAAAGTACCAAGTGACACACTGCCTCTTAAAAAGAGACGTACAGAAAAGCCCCCTGAGAGTGATGATGAGGAAATGAAAGAAGCAGCAGGATCGCTCCTGCATTTAGCAGGAATTCGATCCTGTTTGAACAACATCACCAATCGGACGGCAAAGGGGCAGAAAGAGCAAAAGGAAACCACAAAAAATTAGAACAAATCAATGATTTGTTTGAACTTACAAAGTTTTGTTTCAGCACGTCAGGTGAATTCTAATGATTTGTGGCAATATCAGCAATTTTTTCCTTTTTTGTTTTTCTTTCTATTTGGTTTTGTTTTGTTTCTTTTTTCTTTTTTTTCTTTTTTTGTTTTTTTTTTTGGACCCTTAAGATTTTTATTTTTAAAGGAGATTGAAGCCATAGAACTCATACTGACACTCAGCTAATTTACAAAAGCTTTTCATTACCTGAAGACAAAAAGTTAACAAAAAAAAAAAAAGCCAAAATCGCCATTGCTTTCTCCGGCTTGTCAAAAATGCATGGTTGAATACGCAGTGACATCAACATTAATGTGATGGGAGTAAAATTGGGCACTTGGAAATCCCTCTTATACTAGAAGAGCTGTGCGTAATTTAGTAATCATTCAGGCCTGGCCCTTAAGAATTTATTTTAATGGCCTTATGATTGGGTTAGAAGTGAATGTGAATAAAGAGATTTGGGGGAAAGAGGAGGCACGTACTTCTCAACACCAAACCAAGAACCATCTAGTGGCACTTGGATACGTTGTGCCATAGAAGTCTTTGGACAGCCACTGGTGGCAACTGCGCAAACCGTAATGCACTTTTAGTGCTTCACGTACTATATGTGGCTTATAATGTGAAGACTGATGACTTTAAGCTTGGGGAAATTTCAACTATGTATGCAACGGGTTTCAGTGAAATAACAAGAAGAAATGGGGGAGGGGGGCACTGTTAGTAGCATCGTTAATCATTGAATTCTGTCTTCTATATTAAATTAAAAGAATGTTCAAAAAGCCATAAGCCCGAAGATTGGCACTGCGTGCAAAAAATATTAGTAATAGGGAAAAACAAGCTATGTCTTCTAAACTGCCTGAGTGAAAAGCAATCAACTCTAAGAAATTACAGTAGATATTAAGGAAGGAAATACATCTTTTTCTGTGGATCAAATCCTTGATCTAACTGGGGAAACAAAGCTACAAAACCTGCCATTAGTAGTATTCTGTATTTAAAAAAAAAAAAAAAAGGAAAGCATATTGGTGAACAGCAAAATTCAGAAGTTCAACAAAAGAGCTCCTACACTGCCCTCAGAAATGAGTGTGCAGTTACCGTCAGTCAGGATTCATCTGTGCAAAAATGACAACAGATTTCCAGATTCAACCAGTGTAGCCAGCAGAAACTTGATCCACATTGCATGGATTCCTTTTGGGAGGAGGGGGGGGGAAATACAAAAAGCAAACAATTTTTTTTATTCAAAGATGACAAAGTTCTTGTAAGGTAAAATGTATTTAGCATGAAGCATGAATTATTTTCATATAAATATAGAAAATAGAGAAAAAGGCTATGCCTCTAATTTTTAAGCCCTTAGGCTTAGAGTTTGTTTTTTTGGGTTTTATTTTTTTGTTTGTTTTGTTTTTTGTTTTTGTTTTGGTTCTTTTTTGTTGTTGTTGGGGTTTTTTTGAAGCAGGTGTTTAAGGTTTAACCTTCTTCAGGGACAAACACTGACTGTTGGGGAACTTACTCTGCAATATTAAAAAATAAAATCTTCATGCTCTGGTAGGGCTTGGATGGTTGAATTATACTGCCTTGTCTGCACATTCAGCCCCCCTCTCCCTACTTCTGTTTAAAAAAAGAAAAAAAAAAAAGAAAAAAAAGTAAAAGTGTGTCCTTTCTTCGTCTGTACATGTGTAACATGACGCAATAATCTGAGGGCAAATTTAGTAGTGAGTGTGTATGACAGAATCAAGAGAATAATGGGAGGTTAATTGAGGAAAACTCTCTGATTTGATTCAGGAATAAGTCGACAAGAAAATAGCTTTGCTAATTTGCCATGAGAAAATGAAGTTAGTAAAGAGCCTTACTGAGGTGTCCAGAGCAAAACCAGTGTTACAGAGAGTGTGATTCAGGTATAGTGCTACTCTTCTGGTAATGACAACTATTAGATTGGAGATCCCTACAGCAGAGGGAAGCTGTGAAATAAATAAGACAGTCTCTCTCACCTAGATTCATGAATTTGGCATGAAAAGTTCTACACTTAGAATAGCCTAAAGGCAAGGAGAAAATCCCAGGAACCAACCCCTTAACAGAACAAAATGGTCTGTTTCTTAAAAAGAATGTAGGTTTATATTTATCCCTAACAACTGTTTCAGGCAGCAGTTTCACCAAGACAGATCTAGTTTATGAAGAGTGAGTTAGAGAAAGGTTTGACTTCCCACTCAGGGGAGTAAACTAAAGATTGCATTTGGAGATGACTGTGGTGCGTGTTCAGTTAGGAAGTGGAAGGACTGAAGGGTGGGCTGGGCTGGACCTGTTCTGTGCTCCACAAGTATATTGTCACGTAAAGAGCAGGGACACACTGGGGGCAGCAGAGCAAAACCATGCTTCTCCCGTCTCACCCAGCGTGTCCTGGGATCCAGGTGCTGTCCGACAGCTGCCAGAGCCCAGCACAACTGCCAGCTATGCAGGTTCGGAAGGAGAGAGCCAAGGATGGTGCAAGGAGCAATCTGTGCTCCCCTCAGTTTGCTGGGGCCGATGCACGCAGGGTTGTAAATCGGGAGTACACGGATACTAACTTGTTGGCTGCCTGCAGCCCTTAAGATAAGTTGTGGAAAACAGGAAAGACCGGTCCCTTGGCCAGGTAGCACAGAGATGAATGAGCCATAGCTTTTCCCTTGTGTGACTGGACTGGGATAATCGGCTTCTTCCCAGATCTGCTGCTTCCCAGATCTGCGCTTCCTACAGCCAGAGCCTGCAGGCAGTGAACCACACAACCCCTGCATCAGAAAACTTGGTCCTTCATCTTTTTATGGACTTTGGGGAGAGTAATTTGAAATACAAAATACTGTGGTATCAGTTTGCCACCACCTTTGTTCATTAATGCATAGTTGTACCAGCTTGGGCATGGTTTCAAAAAGCAACACTGAAAACTCAAATTTAGTGGCAGAAAATACATTAAAACCATGGCTCAGCCATCTCTGTCCTCCAGAGAAAGCGATGTGGTTGTGTGCTGGTGGCCAGATTCTGTCCACAGTGATGACACTAATTCCAGAGCAGCTTCGCTGCTTGCAGTGTGTCGGTACAAATGAGACCAGTATCTGCTGAAAAACAAGTACCATTCATTAATGTGGACTCTTGGTGGCTAAATATATAATTACCACTAGTATTAATCACTTTAGAAAACAGTCATTTTGCATAAATATCTAATTAGGCAGGTTATCTTTATATATAGATATATATATGTATAATCTATCTAAGACTTCAACAACTCCTTTATATACTTGCTGGTAAATCTAAAATGTTGGCAAGCATCTATTTTCATGTAAAATTTGTTGCTCCTAGTCTGATCTGCTAAGGAGGTATTATTCGGTAGGAGTTTACAAAGTTACGTTCAGGAACCAGCAGTTTGGCTGAGGGCTAATGCCATTCACAGATTCTTTCTGGAGTTTAAAAGCAACTTGTCCTTATTGACCCTTACTCTGATTGTTGATGAGAAGTACATAATTTGGATTTGTATAAAATATTTAGGAGTCACCTTTTAAACCATTTTTGTGCCTGGCTGACAGTGGCAGCTTTGTCAGAACTGGTTCTACTCCATCAGAGAAGTTCTCTTTTTTTATAAGACTCAAGACCAATTTGTTTTCCAAAAAAATATGTTGTCAGCTTTTCAATCCAGTTGTCTCGACTTTGACTGAATCATGCCAAAACGGAGTGGTAATTGCACTGTATTACGAACACTCTCACTTGCCAGACGTGAGGTGGTTTGGTTTTGCTTGTTTGCTTTCCTTACTAAGCCATTTTGGGGTGAGAAGTCGTCGAATCTCTTAACTTTCCGTTTTCCTCAGTCTATCAGTATTGCCAAATTAGCGTTTCTCCAAGACAGGTGGGGGCTAGGGGAGTCCCAGTAGGTCAGCCAGCGTTCAATGGCGATTTTACACAGGCGTGAATTGTAAGGGTCACTGGACTTCATGACGGGTTCCTTTGGAATATGCCTTTTGCAGCAAGAAGCTCTTGCAGGCCAGAGCTAATGCCACAAGCAGATTTCACCGGTGTCTGCAGGGAGGTGAAATCTGCCGGTCGTGCTTGCGTTCTGCAAGCAATTGGATGTCCTACTGCATTTTGATGCAGATTTTGCCTGCATTTAAATATCCAAGCGCAGGTCTTAAACAGCTTTAATGTATCACCCCATAGCTGTTTCTGAAAGCAGTCTGATTCTGATCTTCTCCTGGCAAAACCAGCAGTAGTTCTACTGAGATCACAGGGGTTTACAGCTGAAAAGCCTGATGGGGGAGCGAGGAGGCGTGCCACGTAGGACTAGAGAGCTGTCCTGGGACTGTATTCTCTTCTCACTGGCAATTCAATTGAGGTCCATATTCTGGCTCCTCTCTTCCCTTAACGGGAGAAGGGAATCCCAAAGGAGGTGCATCGGCTCCTGGTGTTTGACTGAATTACTGTCTGCCTTTGGAAAAGATGCAGAGAAACTTGGGGGGCTGCATTCTTCACTGGAGTGAGGTAGAGTTACATCAACATACTTTAGCAGAGAATGAAATCCAAAATCGTACACCAGATGGCACCAGGGATAAAATGACCAAAACAACACTTTGTCCCATTTTCTTGGTAGCCATGATTGATTTTCACTGAGATTTTGGCTCTCAAATCATTTAAAGATGTAGATAGGCGCAATCTGAGGTTTTCTAGAACCTGAAAGGTGTCTGATCTGCTTCGCAGTCAGTGAAGCTATAGACACCCAAGTGCTCCTGGAAATCTTTACCGTTTCACTATTATTACCATCTTTCCTTGAATCTGGCCGTAGGCATTTTTGAAAACATTACTCTCCCATGCTCCAGGATCAGAATAAAGCTCTCAAGAGAATGCATTTCCAATTTCAGATGCAATGCGATTTACTTCACTTCATGGAGAATGCAAACCCAGCTCCTTCAGGTATGTCACTACTGCCTGAATAGCTCATTGGCATATTTTAT